TTAAAAAAAAAAAAAAACTCAAACTATCATGAGCTTTGCATGAAGACAATGGGTAATCATTTCAATTTCCTGAACACAGTATCTACCTACCAGCACAGGAAGCTGCTCTATTTTCTTAGTTTTATTTTTTCTATTAGTTTATTTTTACATCATTTTGTGCCTTTTTCCATCTCAGTTGTGATCCCTGTGGACTTCCCACCACCAATTCACCCACGTGCCATCACCATAGTCCCATGCACTGCCCCCTCACCTCCGTTTTTGATGTCATTCCCAACCCCACCCCCATACCTCTGGTATGGGTAGACACCCCATGTCTCTGATATATAGTTGTTCATTCTTTTATTGTCTCCTCCACCCCCAGCCCCCACCAAACCTCTTCAGAGTCTATGCAGAGCCTGGGATTATTAGATCTCAGGTCAATTTGGTGTTTCCTTCATCACCCTACTCAACTGTGTCACGACATGACCAGGCAGGCTATAAGCACCTGACTAGCAGGTGGATTTGTCAGCAGAAGGCATGACTATAACAAAAGGTGACCCACCAAACTAAGACCAAGAATAGGCATGACCTTACAATTACTAAGTTCTGCCTTTATCTCCCAAAAGTGACACGCTACCTTACCTTACTTTAATATTTGAGTGAAAGAGACTAACTTGTAAGATCTGGGTTAAAGGCCACTTGTCACTACCTATTGGGATTCTGATTCTCTGGGATTGTTTTCTTACGTGTGTATGATGACCTCTGAAGTGCAGGGGTGCTTGAACCCAATGTGCAGTTCTATTTTAGAGGCTATATATAATACAAATGCACTCTGGCATCTCTACTAAAACCTATCCATTGCTGTTTCCTGGGTGTTTCCCCTCCTCCCCCGGGTATTTTTTCTTTTATTGCATTATTAATTCATTATAAAAGGATATAGCTCAGGTACAGTCAGATGGAAGAGCTGCATTGGGGAACAGGCAGATACATGAAAATACACTGCTGAGCAGAGCAGCAGGAAGGCCAGGTCTGCTTTGCCATGTGGGTCACTTCCCACCTCCCGTGTGGGTCTGCTGTGCCGTGTGGCTGGAAATAGAACTTGTGCTATAGTGGCTGCTGATAGCTTCACAGTGCAGCACTTTAATAACCAGTTGTGCCCCAGGACACAACTTTGTAAATGAAAAAACTATGCTAAAGTTGAAAAAACAGTCTGGAATCAAGGAAACCTGTGTTCAAGTTGTAGCTCTGCCTCCAATATGCTGTAAGTTCACAAAAGTCCATTTCCTTGGCCTATCACTTGCCTTGGCTCAGTTTTCTTATCTGTAAAATGACCTATCAGAATGCACTTTAGGACCTCCATAGTGGTGCAAGGGGTTAAAGAGAGCACTAAGAATCTATCCACAAGGGAGGTGATCCAGATGGCACAGCAGTATATTTCAGTCAAATCTGCTTGTTCTAGTCCCCACTCTGTTTCTAGTGAATCCTCTCAGCCCTGCACCTCTGTCCTGTACCCCACCTGTTGTATGCATAAATAAATAAATCTTTAAAAAAAAAAAAAGGAAACGGGATGAATATTGAGCCCAACTACTAGTGATTTGATCAATGCAGTCAGTATAATGAGGCCTTCATAAAAACCTGTACTCCAAGGTTAGTAAAGCCATGGAGATTTGCAGAGTGACTGTCTAGATATCTTAGAGGACTGTGCCTGGTTCTACACCCTTTCCCAATGCAGCTCTTCTATGTGACTTTACCTAAGCTATCTCCTTATATAATGAATTAAACCTTAAATACATGAAGACTGAAAAAAATACACCTTATTAGCTATTGGAACAACAGCTTAAAAAGCAGTACTATGAAGCTATCCACAGCCACTGCAGCATGAGTTCAATCCCCAGTCAGGGAGGTAACCTACATGCTGCAGCAGACCTCTCCCCACCCACCCACTGCTCCCCTCATTAGTTTATATCAGTAGATCTGCCTGTTCTGCACCCCACTCTGGTAAAGCCTTTCACCCCCCCAACCTCTGACCTGTACCCCAGTTCTGTACGTATAAACAAATCTTTTTTTTTAAAACAGGAAATTGGCCCTCCCTGGTGGTGCAGCGGGTTAAAGCACAGAACTGAGAATCTAAAGCCGCTTCCACATGAGTTCGATTCCTGCCTGCCCCGGAGGGAGGTGACCACATGGCCTGGCAGACCTCTCCTGACCCACCCGCTGATCCACTCAGCAGTGTGCTTCATTGATCTGCCTGTTCTGCTCCCCACTCTGTCTCTGGTGAAGCCTCTCGCTGCCCCTGAGCCTCTGGCCTGTACCCCAGTTCTGTATGCACAAATAAATAAATCTTTAAAAAAAAAGGAAATTAAAGAGAAATCAAAAAGTACCTCAATACCAATAATAAAAAGATTACAAGCAATCAGAATATATGAAATATAGCAAAAGCAGTGTCAGGAGGACAGATAACTGCAGTACAGGCCCACATTAAGAAGTACAAAAAAGTGAAATAAACAACTTAGTATTACACCCAGAGCAACTTGAAATGAGGATCAAATAAGACCTGAAGTTAGAAGGAAGGAAAAGTTACAGAGCAGAAATAAATGAAATGGAAACAAAAATGCCGCACAGCAGATAACTGAAACTAAGAGTTGGTGCTTTAAAAGGATAAATAAGGCCCTCCCTGGTGGCGCAGCGGGTTAAAGCACAGCACTAAGAATCTGAAGCCACTTCCTCATGAGTTCGATTCCCGCCTGCAGCCTGCCCCAGAGGAGACCACATGGCGAGCCAGACCTCTCCTGGCCCACCCGCTGCTTCCCTCAGCAGTGTACTTCGTAGATCTGCCTATTCTGCTCCCCACTCTGTCTCTGGTGAAGCCTCTCACCGCCCCTGAGCCTCTGGCCTGTACCCCAGTTCTGTATGCACAAATAAATAAATAAATCTTTAAAAAAAAAGGATAAATAAAATAGACAAAACTCTGTATCAGCCCAACAAAGAAAAGTAGGAAACATTAATAAAGAGATACATAAATGAAAGAGTAGAACATTCAGAAAGCATATAAGTACAAAGGATCCTAAGAGATTACTTTGAACAGATATACACCCATAAACTTAAAAATCTTGAAGAAACAGACGTATTTTTAGAACAATAAAGTTTACCAAGACTAAACCAGGAAGAAACAAGAGTTGAACAATCCAATCACGATCATAGAAGATAAAAAGAAATCAAGTATTTCCGCCAAACCTAGGGTCAGACAGTTTTATAAGCAAGTTCTTAAACTTTAAAGAACATATTTCCATCTTATCCAATTACTTCTAAAAACCAAAGAAAAGGGAATGTTCCCTAAAACACATTATGATACCAACATGACCCTACAATCAAAACCAGATAAAGAAAACAAGAAAACTCTAGAACATATCCCTGATGGATATCATGTGAAAATCTGCAACAGAATACCAGTAAATTGATGTATTACAAAGACTGTAAGTGATGATCAAGTGTAATTTGTCACAGGGATACAAAGATGGCTTAATATATGTAAACCAATCAATGTAATCCATTACAACAAAAGTACAGACAAGAACCATGTAATATCAATAAATGCAGAGAAAGCATTTGAGAAGATCAGGCATTCATTGATGACAAAAACTCTATAAATAAGATGGGAATCGAAGGAGCCAATTTCAACAAAATAAAAGGCATACATCACAAACCTACAGCCTGTACAATTCTTAAGGGTGAAAAAGTAAAAGCTTTAAGGTCAGGAACAAGACAAGGATGTCCATGTCATCATTCTTACTCAATTTAGTGTTAGGTTTTAGGTAGAAAAATCAAAAAGAACCCAGTTTAGAAAGTGAAACAGTTTTGATACTATATACAGAAAACCCTACTGACGCCAGCAAAAGCTATTGAAAACAGCAAATGTAACAGGAGCATAAAGGACCTGGGGGGAAAAATAATAATAATGAACAACTATATACCAGAGACATTTTACCCAGGTGGAGTGGGGAATGGGATCAAAAATGGCAGGGGGGTGGGGTGGGAGTGCACAGGACTATGGTGATGGCACATGGGTGAATTGGTAATGGAAAGTCCATGGGGATTACAACTGAGATGGAAAAAAGGCACAAAATAATGTAAAAAATAAGCTATTATAATAATAATAATAAAAAGCAAATGAACACAGCAAAGCGGAAAATTACAAAATGAGCATACAAAAATCTGCTGCATTTCTATATACAAATGAGTAATAAAAACAAATTATAAATCCCATTTACAATCACATCAAAAAGAATCAAATACCTAGAAATCAACCTAACCACAGAGGTGAAGGAAGTATACAATGAAAATTGTTAAGACATTACTAAAGGCATAATGCATGACATAAGACGCTGGAGAGAGAGTCCACGCTCATGGATAGGAGGAATCAATATAGTTAAAATGACTAGTCTACCAAGAGATCAAAAGATTTACTGAAATCTTTAGGGCTTCCCTAGTGGCCTAGGGGTTAAGTCTCAGGGCTATCACAACTAAGGCCTGAGTTCAATCCCCAGCCTGAGAGTGACCCACAGAGCTCAACAGACCACTCCAGTCTCCTGCTGCTCCCCTTAGCTCCACCATCCACCTGTTCTGTTCCCCACTAAGTCTCTGGTGAATCCACTCCTCCCCCAATTCTGGCCTACACCCCAGTTCTAGCAAAAATAAAATCAACTTTTAAAAAATAGAGAAGCATGAAGCAGTAAAAACAAACAAAAAACAAGAAAAAAATTGCAAGGTTTTTCAAATAACTAGCTTAAATACTTAATTCACTTTTTATCCACGAGCAAGTAAATAAAACAAGTAAATTATAGGGCTAACTAAGACAGAATGCATCTGGAGTCTGCCTGTTAACTGTTTCCATCACTTAGAATAAATCCACACATTCAATTTAGATCTTATTACCAGTAGCCTCATACTTATTGTCTTCTAGTACTGTAACCCTTAAGGAACGCCCCAGGGATTTGCGGAGATTGTGAAGACAGAAAAGTACAGTTTGTCAGTCCCAGTTAAGAAGCGTGAAAAGCAGTTACGACGAAACCTCCAGGGAACTCGCCAGGCCCCGCCCAGAAACTGCCTCGCCCCCGCCCACGGCCCGCCCAGGCGCGCCCCACCAGCTCACCCAGCCCGCTCACATTAAAGGCGGGCAGCTGCCCTTCGGGCGCGCGGTGCAGCTCGCGGACCAGCTCCATGGCCTTCTCGCAGAACATGGTGGTGACAACCCGGCCCCGCAGTTTTCTCAGTGTCCCGCTCTCAAGCCAAACGGTCGCTGGCCTCTGTGCTCTAATGGCTCTTGCTCCACAGCTCCAGATTCTTGCCCTAAGCCTCCACTGTGCGCTTTGGCGCCAAACTCGCCCAGCCAATAAGGTTGCGCTGCTGATCCTCGAGGATACGGTGGCGGTAAAGGGACATTTGACTCTACTGGGCTGCCGCACTACGCGAGAGGGGAGGAGTCCTTCTCTGGGGAGGCCCTTCTGTCTAGGGTGGGTGGCCTATCTCGGTCACAGTCTGTAGGCTGAGTGGACGTTTCTATTTTTTTCCCCCTTTTTTATTAAACTTGGACCTTTAAGAAACATATACCATCAGATATGCCGCTAGTCAGTAAAAATCTATTCTAATTTTAGGAATATGTGCGCAAACTATCTTGCTTCTATTCTCCCAATAAGTGTTCCTAGGTTCTGAACCAAGGGATACTAAACCTTGAGGTTCCGAGTGTTTTGACAAATATAAAATAATTTTGAGTGGATGAGCATAATTCCCACCTGATGTGTTTTGTTTTGTTTTTCTGTAGGAAGTTGTCTAGTCCATTACAAGATATTTAATCCCTTAAACTCTGTGATGTATTCTGTCATTGAAAAACTTGGTTAATAAAATAACTTTTTTCCTGTACAAGGATGAATTTACCAGGGCACGCCCAATAATTCTAATAAAAGCAAAACAGGCCATGTGTATGTGTTAAGTTCACTAAAATGACTAATTCATAAACTAGTGACTAACTGGAGATTATTTCTTTAAAAAAAAAAGATGTGTTGGGCCCTCCCTGGTGGCGCAGCAGATTAAAAACACAGCACTAACAAGCTAAAGCCACTTCAGCATGAGTTCGATCCCCATCCAGGAGGTGACCCACATGGCGCCATATACCTCTCCTGACCTGCCCACCTCTTCCCTCAGCAGTGTCCTTCATCAGTCGGCCTGTTCTGCTCCCCACTCTGTCTCTAGTGAATCCTCTCACTGCCCCTGCATCTCTGGCCTGTACCCCAGTTCTGTATGCATAAATAAATAAATCTTAAAAAAAAAAAAAAGGACCCTCCCTGGTGGCACAGCCGGTTAAAGCACAGCACTAAGAGGCTTAAGCCATTTCCGCATGAGTTCCATCACCGCCTGCCCCAGAGGTGACCACACCGCGGTGAAGCAGATCTCTCCTGACCCACCCGCTGCTCCCCTCAGCAGTGTACTTCATCTATCTGCCTGTTGTGTTCCCTGCTCTATCTCTGGTGAATCCTCTCACCCTCTGCATCTCTGAACCCCAGCTCTGTATGAATAAATAAATAAATCTTAAAAAAAAAAAGATGTGTTTACTTTATGCATACAAAACTGGGTACAGGCCAGAGGTGCAGGGGCAGTGAGAGGATTCACCAGAGACAGAGTAGGGAGCAGAACAGGCAGATTGACTAAATACACTGCTGAGCTGAGTAGCAGGCAAGACTGGAGAGGTCTGCCGGGCCATGTGGGTCACTTAGGAGCTGGGGATTGAACTCAACACTGAAATGGATGCCACTAACTTGCAGTGTTGCACTTTAACCCATTATGCCACCAGGGAGGACCCTATGGAGGTTATTTCTGGAGCAGTACAATCCAAGTGTAGTTTCAGGTACACTCAACTCCTTAACAACTTTTGGTACATGACATTGATTAAAACTAAAGGGTAAGTGGCCCTCCCTGGTGGCGCAGCAGGTTAAAGCACAGCACTAAGAAGCTAAAGCCACTTCCACATGAGTTTGATTCCCGCCTGCCCCGGAGGTGACCACATGGTGAGGCAGACCTCTCCTGACCTGCCGCTGCTCCCCTCAGCAGTGTACTTTGTAGATTTGCCTGTTCTGCTCCCCACTCTGTCTCTGGTGAAGCCTCTCGCTGCCCCTGAGCCTCTGGCCTGTACCCCAGTTCTGTAAGCACAATAAATAAATCTTAAAAAAAAAAAAACTAAAGAGTAAGTGAACCAATACATAATCATACATGATTATGTTTTCAAGACATACTCTTTGTGGAAGCAAACAGGAAGAGCAACTTTCAGGAAGCCCACTGCTGCAACTGGGAAGGTTTAAAGCTATGACTTTGGTAAGCACCCAAGTTAGTTGTAGGAAGGCATTTGAAAATAGTAGATTCTATAGTATCAAAGGTGACTGTGATGGGCCCTCTCCATGGCGCAATGGGTGAAAGTGCACACTGTGACCATACCTGCAGCTGAATTTCCATTGCATGCCAGGGAGGTGACCCATATGGCATCTAGGACTTCTCCTGTCCTGCTGCTCCCTTCAACTGTGTATTTCAGTCAATCTGCCTGTTCTGTTCTCCACTCCGTCTGAATCCTCTCACTGTCTCCCACCCTCCCACCTCTGGATGAAACTCAGTTCTTGTAGGCATAAATAAATATTAAAAAAGAAAAAAGTGGGCCCTCCCTGGTGGTGTAATGGGTTAAACACAGCACTATGAAGCTATCCGTGGCCACTGTAGCACATGTTCAATCCACGACCAGGGAAGTGACCCACATGATACAAAAGACCTCTCCTGTCTCCCCTGCCATTCCTCTCAGCATTATTATATTTCAGTCAATCTGCCTGATCTGTCTCTGGTGAATCCACTTACTACCCCGGCACCTCTGGCCTGTACCCCAGTTCTGTATGCATAAATAATATATCTTTTTTTTAAGATTTATTTATTGTGCAAACAAAACTAGGGTACAGGCCTAGGGGCGGTGAGAGGCTTCACCAGAGACAGAGTGGGGAGCAGAACAGGCAGATCAATGAAGTACACTGCTGAGGGGAGCAGCGGGCAGGTCAGGAGAGGTCTGCCACATCATGTGGTCACCTCCGGGGCAGGCGGGAAAATCAAACTCATGCGGAAGCAGCTTTAGATTCTCAGTGCTGTGCTTTAACCTGCTGCGCCACCAGGGAGGGCCAATAATATATCTTTTTTAAGATTATTTTTTATTTTATGCACACAAAACTGGGGTAAAGGCCAGGGGTACAGGCCAGAGGTGCAGGGGAGGTGAGAGAATTCACCAGAGACAGAGTGGGAAGCAGAACAGGCAGATTGACCAAGTACACTGCTGAGGAAAGCAGTGGGCAAGACAGGAGAAGTCTGCTGCACTATGTGGTTCACCTCCTGGGCTGGGAATTGAACTCCCACTGAAGTGGCTATGGCTAGCTTTCAGTGCTGTGCATTAACCTGCTGCGCCACCAGGGAGGGCCAAATAAATAAATCTTTAAAATAAATAAATAAAATGAAAAATGTTCATGATGCTGAATGGCCCAAAAGCCTTTGATGGTGTGATATGGACAAGAAAAATATTAATACAGAAACCACATAGCATCATTTGAATTCAAAAAACATTCTTTCATTTTACAAAATACTTAGAACACATAAAACAGGGTACTATTTATTGTTTTTCTCACCTTCTGATATGGAATCTTCTGGTGCCTCCTCCACTGTCACATTGTTGACCTCCAAGCCAGTGTTATCACTGCTCCCTCCCTCTGCCATACTGTCTACCCCCTCCTGCCTGCTCTTTTTGTCCTCAAGAGTAGACATGCCTAGTTCACCATTTTGTTGGCTTTCTATGGTTTCTTCAAGGTGTATATCCTCTGTCTCCAATGAAATAGTGCTATCTTCTTTATTTTCTAATTAGCTCCTTAATCTTCCTTAGGAACCATGCTGTTCTTACCAAGCTCAGCTTAAGTGGACTTTTGAGTTCCCAGGCAGCTAGCCAGGCAACTGCGGGAGCACAGCTCAGGGTAAATGCATGCCCTGGGACAGTCTTTTTCCATTTGATTAATTTTTAAAGCTGATACACCCTGGAGAAGGTCCAGAAACCTTCTCCAGGTGCATTGTATTATGATGCAGTATTTAATTTTTTTTTATTTTGCAGTGTGGGATTTTGTGTGTATGATATAAAGGGCAGCCAAATTTTATTGGGTATTTCCTGTGTGATATGGACTGTGATATTTATTTCATTTAATTATCATGATTGCTCCTAAAGGTAGTTAACATTCATGGTAATAACAAGCAAAAAATAAAAAGATTCTTGATGAGGAAACAGAGAAGTTAGATAACTTGTCCCACAGCTCGTAAGGTGACAATCTCTGCACTTAAACTCTCCTCTTTCAACTATACATTATTACCTTTGATTTTAAGGTAGTCATTTAAAAACATTTTTTAAAATAGTTCTAGTCACAAGGCCTACATGGGAGAATGCCCTAATAAAAGAAATTCACATATCTCTAAATTACTATGGAAATTTTCATAACAATAGAGAATCAAAAGTAGAAATCACTGCTATAGAAGTAACTCCTTTTATTTGGCTATTTTTTAAAAAGATTTATTTAGTTATACATACAGAATGGGGGTACAGGCCAGAGGTGTGGGGAGTTAAAGGATTCACCAGCCACAGAGTAGGGAGCAGATCAGGCAGATGTACTGAAATACACTGCTGAGGGAATCAGTGGGTGGGTCAGGAGAGGTCTGCTGCATCATGTGGATCACCTTCCTAGTTGGGGATCAAACTCATGCTGCAGTGGCTGTGGTAGCTTCATAGTACTGTGCTTTAACCTGTTGTGCCACCAAAGAGGACCTTGTTTAGCTACTTTTTAAGGTATTGCTTAGATTTATTCTAGCTATTTGAGAAGCTGTGTTCCTCTTTTGCAAATATAGACACAACCAATGTGTGATCTGGAAAATGGTTATGAGGATGATTTCTGAATACAATAAGGAATCATTGAGCTAAATGTCATTAATAAAAAACAAGGTTACAACTTTTCAAGAAGTGGGATATATAGCGATACACTTAGTTTATTAATACAGTGTGAACATTCACTACATACATGTCTTAGATTTCTACATTTTTAATTTATCAGATTCTGCCTTAAGTTAAATAGTAATAAATTTGTGCTGTTCTTAGTATATGCAATGAATTTAACTTCCCTGTTTAATTCTTGTACATAAAAAAGTACAATATGGAGGTGTATGCAATCCTTGCTATATTGGGCTTATAAATTGTTTTGAAATTTTCATTCTTTTTTCA